CCATTAATTTCCACTCAAACCTTTATTATTTTCTCCCTTCTTCTTGCTTCAGGTTTGGTTTGCTCTTCATCACCCAGGGCCCTAGGTAGAACTTTAGGCTATTATAGATTTGAGGTATTTCTTCTTTTTCAATATAGGCATTTATGGCTGTAAGTTTCCCTCTAAGCAGTTTTAGCTTCATTGAAAAATTTTTGTGTGCTGTGTCTTCATCTTCATTCACCTCAAAATATTTTTTAATTTTCCCTTTGATCTCTTCTTTGACTCTTTGGTTAGTTAGGATCATGTTGTTTTATTTCCACATATTTGTTAATTTCCCAGATTTGTTTGTTAGTGACTTCTACTTTTATTCCACACGAATATGTATGTAGTTAAACAATATACTTTGTTTTATTTCTGTCCTTTTAAATTTACTGAAGTTTATTTTATAGCCTGGCGTATAGTCTATCTTGCAGACTATTTTCCTGTGAATTTAGAAAAATGTATATCCTGCTGTGATGGGGTTGGGTGTTTTCAGATGTCTGTTAGTTATAGTTGGTTAACAGTGTTATTCTGGTGTTCTATTCCCATTTCAACCTGCTGTCTTATTGTGGTACCAATTGCTGAAAGTGGGATAGTAAAGTCTTCATCCCCTGGGGCCAGCACTGTGCCATGGTAGGTTAAGCCTTCACCTGCAGTGCCAGCATCCCATATTGGTGCCAGTTTGTGTCCCAGCTGCTTCACTTCCAATCTAGCTCTCTGCTAATGGCATGGGAAAGCAATGAAAGATGGCCCAAGAGCCATCTGCATGGGAGATCTAGAAGAATTTTTTGGCTCCTGACTTCAGATAGGTGCAGCTCCGGCCATTGAAGCCATTTGGAGAGTGAACCAGCAGATGGAAGACCCCTCTCTGTCTCTCCCTATCTCTCTCTCTCTGTAACTCTGCTTCTCAAATAAATAAATCCTTAAAAATAAATAAATAAATGAAGCTTTCATCCCTTATTTTTGAATTGTTTCTGCCTTCAGATAGTCTGTGCTTCATGTGTTTTGGAGCTCTGTTGTTAGGTGCATATATGTTTATAATTACAGCTTTCTGGTGCACTAACTCATCATTTAATCCTCCTCTTCATCTCTACTAACGTTTCTTGTTTTAAGTTCTGTTTTGTCTGATGTTAACTTTTGTGGTGATTGCTCCAAAGCCCTGTTTGAATTGTCAAAAGCTTCGATGGGCAGTGTCTGTCAGTGAAAATCTTCCTGTTTTCCATTTTTTTTGCACATATTTCAAATGAAGCAGTTTCCTAACCAACAAGCTGTCCTTGAGACCATGGCATGGTCCACAACATGACAGCCCATGTAATGTGACGGCTCCTGTGTCTATGCAGCGCCCTCTCCACAAGACTGCTTATTTGCTTTTCTTTTTTCAGAAAAAGATTTATTTACTGATGTATTTATTTGAAAGACAGTAGAAAGAGAGAGAGAGAGAGAGAGAGAGATCTTCCATCTGCTAGTTTCCCCCCTGAATGACCAGGACCAGGCCAACGGCAGGAGCCAGGAACGCTATCCTAGTCTCCCACATGGGTGACAGGGACCCAAGTACTTGGGCATCTTCCAGGTGCTTTAGCTGGAAGCCTGTGGAGCAGCCGGGACTCAAATCGTTGCTCCCTATGGGATGCCAGCATCACAATTGGTGGCTTAACTTGCTGTGCCACAATGCCAGCCATGCTTATTTATTTTTTTGTCCCCTCCATTTCACCCTCAGTAAGAAAAATCACATCCTGCAAAGGACCAGCCCTCAGGGGTAAGGGAAGTGAAAATAAAGGGAAGGGACATCAAGGAAAAGTTTATGAACATGCACATTTTTTCTCGAACTCCGCTTCAAGTCAGAAAAGCTCCCTACCTTTTGGGGGTCACCCATTTGCTGGGAGCCAGCAGAACTCCCAGGTGATACCTGTCAGAAGTGGAGTAGAGTGAGGATGACCCACCAGAGCCCCTCCGTCCATCCGTGCACCTTGATGTGCCAATGTGGTTACAGATTTCCAAAGGAAAAAACACATTTTAAAAATAGACATCATTCCATTCTGAACCAGGGTCCCTGTTTGATCTTTCCCTGTGTGTTCAAGCCCACTTGTTGACTTGAAAGATAAGTGACAGCCCAGTTACTCCCGTTGGGTGAGAAAACCTCATATTCTCTGCCAGCTTCCTGTCCCAGCTCTGAGCTCTGAGAGTCCGGTGGGGTGGGGGCAGCATGACCTCCACCTAGCCATGTGCTGGCATGAGTCCGGTGACAGTGTGTCTGAGCTGCCAGGACATTGGCAGTCTTTGGAGTAGTTCTTCCTTACTCTTTCAACAACCAGCCAATTTCATCTCAGGAAGCCGCTCTGCAGTGCTGGCTGGCTTTGGAAGTCATTTTTAATTTTGTGACAAAGACGAATGTGTCCAACGGGAGTAGTAAGTGGTTTTACTGGTGATATTAATGGAACCGTGACCTCTTCTGTATCTATGGTCCCACAAAACAAAATATGTTTGTATTCTAATATGTCAGGCAAATTCATTCTTAGCCCTTCCTTGAAGCAAATTGCAGAGGAAATATACTATTAATAAGCCCAGGGAGTATTGTTTGTGTGTGTGTGTGTGGTGTGTGTACAGATATAATCCCTTGGATTTATAAGGCTGCCAGTGAATGCTATATAAATGATATGTTTTGAATTGTTTGAGAGAAGACAAATCATCGAAATTCTGACATCTTTGAATACAACTGCTGCACTGAAATTGGTATTGGCTTTTAAAGGCCAAGAGGTCTAGTAAAATTCAGGTGTTTTTGTGATCCAAAGGCAAAACAGAGACTCAAAAGCATACTGAATTAGCCCCTTCTGTTTTCATTTGGGATTGGCATTCATTAGCCTAGAAATGACTTCACTGGTCTTTACTATTTCCTGTAGGAACTTTTTATGCCCCTGTCCTTTGTTGAAAATGGTTGCTAAAGGAGACAGTACATTAAATATGAAGGATTTACAGTTTAGTTAAATGAATTAAACCATTTCCTGGTGTTTGTGTTTACCTTGGGACTCACAAAGGAGACAAAAATATAGACTCACAGGAGGAAGGAAAGGAATGATCAAACCCCAATGGTTCCTAGCTAAATGTCTAGCTCAGCAACTTTATTTAAAGGAGGAATTTAATGCTGATAAGGAATCTTTGTCTCTGTATAATTAACTTTTCTCTTTGCATTTGTTCTATAACCTTTGAGAATGTCTAATAAACACATAACTTTATTGGTGGCGACAGTTAATGTCTTATTTTAGTGCAGAGGACAAAGCTAAAGTAAATCAAAGGCAAAACAGTTATCCGTGAGACTGCATGATGCTTTAGAATTTGAATTTAACTTCAGTCACTTAAAATATTATAAAATAATAATGATCACTCAAGAAAATCTGACAAATACAGAAAAGCTAAATAAGGAAATAGCCCATAAAATTACCACTCCAAATTAATTATCATCAACATGCAGTCTGCTTGTTTTAAGTCTTTTCTCTATAATATTACAAGTCTGAAATCACGGTGTTGGTGGGCCCAAGACCAGCTGAAACCTAAGGGAGCCCTTTCTTATCTCTTCCTCTCTCTGTTGGTTGCCTGCAGTCCTTGCAATGCCTAGGTTTGTAGCTGCTCCACATCAGTCTCTGGTTCCTTCCCCTCTCTCCTGCCCAGATAGCTCTTTTAAAAGACACCAGTCATGTTGGATTAGGGGCTTACCCTATTTAGTTTAGATTGTTACATTTGCAACACCACTATTTCCAAATGAGTTCATATTAAAAAATATACTGGGATCACAACTTCAATGATTTTGTTTTCTTTTTCTTTTCTTTTTTTTTTTTTTTTGGTGGGGAGAGACACAATTCAACCCATAATAGTCACCATAGCACTACCTATTCTATGCAGCCACTGTCTGCTTCTTGTTCTTATTTCTCTCCAATTCGTTCTCCATTCAGCACCCAAAATGAGCTCCCTAACCTACAGGTCTGAGAGAGAACCAGCAAGCAGGTGGCGCCCTGGTTGGTCTTTCAGGCCCAGATCCCTCCTGGAGTATTGGGCTGGAGCCCAGGGAGGAGAATCAGAACCCCCTGTCTCCTGATGAGTTCCCTTCCTGTGGATGGCGGCAGGTTCCTAGGGCCAGGGCAGGGTGGACCCTGAGAATGTTTCTGAATGGATCTGACGCTCATTCCAGCTTCCTGGAGGAATTTCAGGGAAACCGAACAGGTGGTGTGAATCCTCCTTGCCGCTGAGACTGGCTCAAGGCCGCACTCTTAAGGGAGGTATTTTGGTGATTCTTTTTAAAACCTTTTCCAGAGCAGTGCAGGCATTTGCACCTACTTGGTTCTTAGTAGGTAAGTAGTGCATACCAAAGAAACAGACTCAATGTGCATATGAATTACATTTAGGATTCAACGGGCCTTTGCCTACCTCTTGCCCTCCCCCTAAGCAGCTCAGAGCTTCTTAGTAGGCCAGGAAATTCTGGAAAACCCTGAAGTCATGCTTCTGTCATTCAAATGCTAATCCTCTCTCTACACCTGTGCGTCCTGCATCTTCTCTAACTCTCCCAGAGAGAAGCCCTCTTGGCTGCCTCTCTGCTCTCTGAGTCCTAGCAAAGGCGCTGGAGGGCGTCTCTTGGGCCACTTATCATAGTTGTGCTTGTAAAGTTTATGCAGAATATTCCGGTTTCTCACTGCAGGTTGCTGGCTTCTCCTCATGGAGATGCCCCCTGTCTCACAATTGCACGTTGGGGTTTGAGGGCAACCTGCTCAAAGGCCAAGAACGGAACAGGAGATCAGTTTTTCTCAGAGCAGCTCTCTTTTTTTCTGGCCGGAAACACAAAAAAGCAAATTCAGGCAAAGACTATGAATTTACAGATTTTGTTAAGGGAAGAAGGTGTGGCTGTGGCAGGGTCTGTATGACCTTACCCACTATAATGTCTAAATGTTTGTGTTTCAATCACTTATGTAACTTTTTTTCATTTTTTTCCCATGCAGATGCAGACAAGCCTTTTGTAGAGATGTACACAGAGATTCCTGAAGTTCTGTACATGCACGAGGGGCGGGAGCTTGTCATTCCCTGCCGGGTCACATCACCCAACATCAACGTTACTTTAAAACAGGTAATGCTGAGCGATGCTGCCCTCAGCCTGCTTCTTACTGCCAGTGAACATCGTCAGGTTTCTATGACCCTGTGTCTCTGGAATGCTCTTCTGACGGATGTTTGGGCTTCTCAGTGCACTTTTCTATAATGTCCCTTTACTACAAAGGAGAAGTGCTGCAAGTTATACCCATGCATGTACTCAAACGAGTACAATGATCATATCTTACGCATTGATCTGAGTGCATAATGATGTGTTTTACGCACAGGGAGCCACCAGCTTGGATTGAGCTGGAAATTTCCTGATGACAAAGGCTCACCTCCTCTGGGCACCCAAACATAGCCTCTGGGAGAAAGAAAAGGGAAAGCCACCTAGGAGAATTCATATTATAAGTCGTACATATGCAGAAAGAGAAAGATTTAGAGTAGTTTTCTAGTAAAGACCAAAACTAGAATGTGACATTCAAGCTAATTATTCAACAATAAGAGTAGGCAGTATACTAGGACTAAGAATTGGACAAGCTCGCCAAATAGAAAACTGCTGAAAGAGGTAAAACAAAGTGAAGACTGCCCCCAAGGCAGCACCTCGCATGGTCCGCCATGGAGCAGGTGCTCTGGAAATCTTTGGCGTTGATGGTGGTGGAGGTCAGGTTGGCAGAGTTTGAAGACTGATTTTCTGTATCACCTGTTGACCCTGAGTCCTGATGGATGCTGACGTGTCTCTCTGCCTTCTCTCCTTACATTCACTCTCCTGTGTGGCTAATTTAAATCCTCTGCATCACCCAGCCGAGACAGGATTTGGCTTGCAGTGCATTTGTGTGCCACCTCCGGGAAACAGAAAGCAAGTGTATGTCAGAGCTGGGCACGTCAGAGGAATTGAACTCTTCAACTGGTTCCCAGGGTGTTGGGGACCTCCCAGGCATTACAGCCAATATCTTGACTTCCCATTCATTGGTCTTGCCTCCCCTCTCTGAGGGCTTGTGTAGAAGACCAGAGATTGCTAACTCACTGCTTGGATCTGACCAGTCTGGTGCTTACTGTTGGGCAAACTGAAAAATTAACAAACCCCTCGCCATCTTAGTTTCCCCACTGTAGAAATGGGCTGATTACAGAAGGAGCAGCTCACATGGTCAGGAATATAGTCCACAGGAAACACTTAGGAAGAGGTCTGGCACAAGATAAACCCTATTCAAGGGTTAGCTACTAGTATCACTTATTTACTGTTTAATACCCAACATTTGATTTATCATCAAGTCATATTTCTAATGTCATGGCTTAACTCCTCTTAGCCCAAGATAATAACTGCTTTTTGATTAATGTGAGAAAAACTACGGGGAGAGGAATCTCTCTCTGTCTCTCATACAAGCCCTGGTGCAGATTGGCTGTCTGTCATAAGGAATGTTCCAGAATTCCCACCTGTAAAAATGTGAGGAGTGAGGGGTAAAGTGGGATCATTCACTCTTTTTCTACCTAAGATCTGCATTGCACAATGTAAAATCCATGCATACAAGTGGTCTCTAAAAAGTTCATGGAAAATGCATATCACAGAAAAACTATGCATGAATTCTAAGTTTTTGGCACCAAAATAAACTTAACTTTTAATTTCATTTTCTACACTTTGAGGCACCTTCATATATATTGAAAATACTATAACCTATTACACTCATACTTACACTGGTGTGAAATTACTATCTTTCTCTTCCATCTCTTTTATTATTCCTTTTATTTTTTTTTTTCCTGGAAAAGCAGAGAGACAGAGACAGAGATCCATCACTGGTTCATTGTCCAAATACCTGCAACAACTAAGGCTGAGCCAAGCAGAAACCAGGAGCCTACAACCCAATTTGGGTCTCCCAACGTGAATAGCAGGGACCCCAGTACTTGAGCCATCACCACTGCCTCCCAGGGTGTCTATCAGCAGGAAGCTGCCACTGGGAATGGAGCCAGGACTCAAATCTGTACCCAAAATGGGATGCAGGTGTCCCAACTTGCATCTTAATCTCTGTGCCAAATCCCCACCCTTCTTATCCTTCTTTCCCTCTAATTTGTTGTCCTTTCCCTCTCCTTCTCCCATGCCTGCTTCGGTATAGCCATTATCCACTAGAGACAGGCCTCCCTGCCCAGTACCTCCTTGTGAGGCCACCATGTCTCCACCCACCTGTCTACCTCTTGTGACACCTGCAACAAAAGTGGCCGGGGCCGGCTCACAGAGTCACACAGCCTGTTCCTGGTCCAGCTCTTGTCAGCTCAAAGCACACTTAGTCAGTGGAGTACCACTGTGGCAGCCATTACTAGATGGAGAGTGAGTGAAACAGTTTGAAGAATCTGTGACATATTTTGAAGTGACTCTGAGGAAGTCTGTTAGTGAACCTCTCTTTAATAGATTTGCCCCTTGCTGGTTTTCATTTATTTTTAAAGTATTGGAGATTTCAGTCCCTGGCTTAAATTTTTCTGAGTTTTCCCTTTCATCGTTTGCACCAAATTAGAAGAAGAGATTCTCTTTTCCCCACCGAATGCAGAATGTTTGGATGCTTATAGGTAGAATCTTGCTTTACTAAAACATATAATAAATCTTTCAGTTGCTTTCGGTTCTTTGTAAGCAGGATATAATTAATTTTCACCCAAATAACATGGATTACATACACCAGTACACACGTGCACCCTGGGAAGGAGGCACTAGTGACTTTCACACTAGAAATTTCCTCTTGGTCAAGATCACAAATCTAGATTAGCTCTTCCAACAAGCAATATAAATAAATGATAACTGGGTAGAGGGAGGAGTGTCAGACTTTTTGAAAGAAGATTGAAAAGGTTTCAAGCTTCTCTGTGGCTATTTGGCATTTCCTTAAAGGCAACTCACTTTTTTTCCCTTTCCCAGCTGGGAATAAGTGACAGTGGTAGTCAGAGTCTAACCATTAAAATTGGGCTGGCAACCTGGCATCAGGGGAGTTGGGCTGGGCCACTCTCCAGAGCAAAGACCCTTTAATAAAGTTTAATCTTATGAAAGAGTGTTTATTTGGGGTTTTTAAAAATTAAGTCCTAGATATCGGAAGAAAGTGTAAGGACAGAAGCAATTATGGACTCATGTATTTGATGTAGACTCCCTGTGTTTGGCAATTTGGGCCTCGTGATTAAGACAGCTGGGTCCCATATCTGAGTATGGCCTTGCTCCAGTTTGGCCCTGGGCATTTGCAGCTATTAGAGGAGTAAGCCAGCAGATAGGCACTCTTCCTTTTTCTCTCTTTCTCTTTTTCTGTCTCTTGAATAAACAAATAAAAATTTAAAAGAAAATACTCCTAAGAAGGCGAGAGCACTCCGTTGCTAACGGTGCCCCTGTCTTCCCGAATCATCATCTCTGTGAGCCACTTGAGCTTCCGTGGTTTCCCTCCCAGTACAGGGCTGATGCCTTCCTGGTGTTGCAGTGGGATTTAGAATGGTCACCCCAGTGAGTGCCCTGAGTCTGGAGTCCCTGGGCTTATGCAGAGTCCACCATGCAACAAAGGAGGAGAAATGATGGCTTATTCAAAGCCGCAGGTGAACAGGACACCTGCAGATAATCCAGCAGCCCCAGTGGGGAAAAAAATGTGAACTCCTTTCTCTATTGAGTAACAGACTAGTTTATTATGAAAATACCCAGAGGCCAAGGAGTTATGAGCTCCTGCAGGAAGTCTGACATGGGGGTCAGGTCTATCCTGATAGGTGCAGCTTGTTGCCAAGACTGATAATAAATTATCATAATTAAGGATGGGCCTTTGGCTTAGAGCTAAGATGCTGGCCCCATATCTGAATGTCTGGGCTCAAGTCCTGGCTCTAGCTTCCTACCCCACACTTGTTCTTAGCCAAAAGGCCAAGAAGCGATTCTAGCTTCCTACCATTGCAGACCCTGGGAGGCAGTAAGTGATGGCTCAAGCAGTTGGGTCTTCTGCCATTCATGTGTGAGACTTGAACTGTGTGCCTAGCTCCAGATTTTAGCCCTGGGCATTTGGGGAATGAACCAGTGAATGGGAGTTCTCTCTCTTCCTCTCACTCTCTCTGCCAAATAAGTAATCGTAATTTCTATAATGTATCATAACACAAATATATCTTGCTATGTGCAAGGAAAACCCAAGACCCAATTATAACAAGCTGGAGTTTTTACCTGTATTATTTTCATTAAGCTGAAAAATTATGGTTGTACACACACCTAGGGAGAGGGTATTGCTACAGGGCTAAAATGATTTTATTCCAACCTGTTCTTCCTTTTCAGTTTCCAAGTGATCAAGTGATCCCCCATGGGGAAAGGATAACCTGGAACAGCCGGAGGGGCTTTATAGTATCAAGTGCCACGTACAAAGAAATAGGGATCCTGTACTGCGAAGCATCAGTCAACGGACAAGTGTATAAGACACACTATCTTATACATCGGCTAAGTAAGTGATGCAGGCACCAAGTCTGCCTGCTCTGTGGTTCATCTGCTTCGTGGATCTTTGATTGTTAAGCCATTTTCTCTCTTGTGCTTGCAGCCAATACAATCTTGGATGTCCAAATGAGCACCCCGAGCCCAGTCAAGCTACTCAAGGGGCGCGCTCTGAACCTCAACTGCACTGCCACCACTCCCCTCAACACCAGAGTGCAGATGACCTGGAGTTACCCCGGGCAAGTGAGTGACCTGTTTTTTTATTTCTTCCACAGGGCAGGATTTATCTTTACCAAGTGAAGCCCCCTTGGGTTTTTGAGATGGGAAAAAATCAGGAAAGTCTGACTCCACGCAGGGTTGGTCAGTCAAGAAGCCCTGGGTTTGGCCCGGGTGCTTTTCTTTCCTGCCCTTTCGTGAGCATGATATGCATAGATACAGTCTTTTGATGTCAGGGTGTTTGTTTTTGAAGGGTATAGGCTGGTGTTTGCCTTGCATGATTCTGGGTGGGAAAGGGAATTGTTTCATCCTTGGAAACTATTCTCTAGGATTTAGAGATGAGAGGGAAATTTATCACCAAATACCAGGCCAGAACTGTCGTTTGTAACAACAACAGCTTTAGGGGAGGCTGTTTTTGTCAGTGCATTCATTGAAGGTACTGGCAGCCAGGCAGGCACCTGATTAGAGCGTGTTTCCAAAAGATACAGCAACCCCACCATCCAGGATTCTGTTTGCTAAGTTTAAGTGGAGCGATTCTGTCCTTCAGAAAAATGAGAACAATGGAGACTGAGTTGAGTTCCCTTATTCTAGTCGAATATCCTCACAAACTTGTTTTATGAACATATAGATGGGGAAAATGTTAAGAAAATGTTGATGGCGATTTCCTTGTGTCAGGATGACATATGTGTCATATCCCAATTATTGCACAATCACAGTTAAGCTGTGATTAAATTCTGTTTGCCACATTGATGGATCAGCCCCAAGCTATTGTTTTTCATTAACAATCTCTTGTGATGGAAATAAACTAATTTAGCAACAAAAAGGTGAGACAAGTGTCCTAGAGGGACACTGGAGCTAATCAGTCATAAACCATCTTCTAGAAACTCTTATTATTTCATTTAAGTAAAGAGTCTGGGGTCTGTGCTGTGGCATAGCACGCAAAGCCGCCACCTGCAGTGTCAACATCCCATATGGGCGCCGGTTCCAGTCCTGGCTGCTCCACTTCCGATCCAGCTCTCTGCTATGGCCTGGGAAAGTAGTAGAAGATGGCCCATGTGCTTGGGCCCCTGCACCCACGTGAGAGACTCGGAAGAAGCTCCTGGCTCCTGGCTCCTGGCTTAGGATTTGCGCAGCTCCGGCCATTGCAACCATTTGGGAGTGAACCAGCAGATGGAAGACTTCTCTCTGCCTCTGCCTCTGACTCTCTGTAACTCTACCTTTCAAATAAGTAATAAATAATAAATAAATATTTGAAGAAAAGATTCTATGACTTGGAGAAATATTTTTGGGGTTCTGATCAAAATCAAATGTTCTCAGCAAATGACAAGTGGTAAGAAATCTCTCCTGCTAGTGTTGCTACTGTAAGTTAGTATATCGGTTATGAAATGCCAATTATCTAAAGTGGCACTGTCCAGGAGAACTTCCTGTGAAGCAAACATGATCTATCTGCTGTCCAGATCTGTGCTATCTATGGCTGCAGAGTGGTTGACACGTGGCCTACTGGGATTAGCTTTGTTAAATTTTGACCTAAATAACCACATGTGGCTGGTGGCTGCCGTACTGAACAAACCAATTCCAAAACACAGGATGAGTTGTTTTCCAAAACAGAAATTACACCAATGTTAACTCAAACTTGGGAAGAAAAGAAAAGGAAGAAGTAGTGCTCGGGGCCGGTGCTGTGGCATGGCGAGTAAAGCCACCGCCTGCAGTGTCGGCATCCCATATGGGCGCCGGTTCCAGTCCTGGCTGCTCCACTTCCAATCCAGCTCTCTGCTATGGCCTGGGAAAGCATTAAGAAGATGGCCCAATTGCTTGGGCCCCTACACCTTCGTGGGAGACTCCGAAGAAGCTCCTGACTCCTGGCTTTGGATCAGCTCATCTCTGGCCATTGCAGCCAATTAGAGAGTGAACCAGCGGATAGAAGACCCCCCCCCCTCTCTCTTTCTGCCTCTCCTCTCTCTGTGTAACTTTCTCTCTGAATTTCAAATAAATAAATAAATAAGTCTTAAAAAAATAAATATGTGTATGTTGGGGCCGGCGCTATGATGCAGTGGGTTAATCCTCCATCTGCAGTGCCGGCATACCATATAGGCACTGGTTCAAGTCCTGGCTGCTCCACTTCTGATCCAGCACTCTGCTATGGCCTCGGAAAGCAATGGAAGATGGCCCAAGTCCTTGGGCCCCTGCACCCACGTGAGAGACCTGGAAGAAGATCCTGGATCTTGGCTTCGTATCGGCGCCTCTTCAGCAGTTGCGGCCATCTGGGGAGTGAACCATCAGATGGAAGACCTCTCTCTCTCTCTCTCTCTCGCCTCTGCCTCTCTGTAACTCTGCCTTTCAAATAAATAAATCTTTTAAAAAAATAAAAAGAAGTAATGCTCATATAAAAAGGGGGTGCAAAAAGTCCCCTGGTCTGTTATGGTAGGGGACTGATTTCTGATGCTATTTTTTAAAAATGAAGTTTTATTTGTTTGAAAGAGTTATGGGGGAAGTGGTAGGCAGAGACAAAGAGACAGAGAGAGGTTTTCCATCTACTGGTTCACTCCCGAAGTGCCACAACAGCCAGGATTGAGCCAGGCCAAAGACAGGAGCCAGAAGCTTCACTTGGGTCTCCCACGTGGGTTGCAGGGCCACCTTCCACTGCTTTTCCCAGGCAATTAGCAGGGAGCTGGTTGGGAAGTGGAGCAGCCGGGACTCAAACCAGCGCCCATGTGGGATGCCTGCATCTCAGACAGTGACTTTACCCACTCTGCCACAGTGCCAGCCTCAGTTCTCTGATTTTTAATGAGAGTGACTGACTTTTACCTCTGGTTAGTGCTGAGAATGAACAAGATGGCTGGGACATGTGCTTGTACCGACAGACCTAAAGGGACAAGTGGGGTGGAAGTTTATCAGACATGGCACAGCAAAGAGCTAAGTTTAGGACCCAAAGATCAGTCTTGACAGCTTCCCAAGTCTTTTCTTCCATTCCCCACCCCTCCTTGAGGAAGGATTGAGATGAGGAAATTACATATACACTAGAAAATGTAATGCTAACTAGATAAGAGGAGGCAAGCAATGTGATCTCATCTTAAAGCCGTGAAGTCGTGGTGACCATACAGACTGCTGAGCCTCGGGCCTGTCTGCTGGGTGTCTCTGAGATCAACCTGGCTCAGCACCTGCTGCACGCTGGTTAAACTCCTCCATGGCTCTGGATGTCCCCAGAGCCACTTGCTATGATTTGGTAGAATTTCTTGAACATGGCACAGAGTGAACTGGGATGATACTACCTTAGTCTTTCCATTTTTAGCAAAAGACTCGGAAGGTGATTTATTAAGAGAAACACTGCCGGTGCTGGCCTTGCGGTATGAAGCCACCACCTGCAACTCCAGCATCCCCCGTGGATGCCAGTTCATGTCCCCACTGCCCCACTTCTGATCCAGCTCTCTGCTAATGGCCCAGGAAAAGCAGTGGATGGTGACTCAAGTGTTTGGGCCCCTGCATCCAAGTGTGAGACCCTGGTGAAGCTCCTGGCTCCTGGCTTTGGCCTGGCCCAGCATTGGCCACTGTGGCCATCTGGGGAGTGAACCAGTAGATGGTAGATCTCTCTCTCTCTCTCTCTGTCTCTCCCACTCTCTCTGTAACTCTGACTTTCAAAATGAATAAATAAATCTTAAAAAAAGTTAAAGAAGAGAAACTAAGGATAATTATTGCCCAGGTTTGTCTGTGGCAGGAGAACAGGTTACCATTAAGAGAGGTATACATGCTGGAGGAGAAGCACTACCAAGACCTGAGTTCTTAGCCTACATGGGCTGGAGTCTCTGTTGCTTCAGTTTCTCCATCAGTGAAAGGGTGATAACCTTACCACTCTCCCTCGGTTGTTGTGAAAAGCTATTGCGAGCTCTGGCCGTTACGGCCAATTGGGAAGTGAACCAGCAGATGGAAGACCTCTCTCTCTCTGACTCTCCTTCTCTCTCTGTGTAACTCTGATTTTCAAATAAATAAATAAATCTTTAAAAACAAAAAAGTAAAGCATTTGCGAATAAGTATGAGAAATTTTATTTGAAGAAAGTTAAGTGCTAAGTAAATGCTAGTATGATTCATACTCAAGGTATATCTAGACAGAGGTTTAGTTTCCTAACATCTTGCTCTTTGTAGGGTACATATATGTGTGTGTGTGTATATATATACATATATAGTTTACTCCCAAATGCCTTCAATGGCTGGTGCTTGGTTAGGGCCAAGCTGGGAGCTAGGAAGTCAATCCAGGTTTCCTATTGGGTGGCAGGGACCCAATTACTTGAGCAATCACCTGCTGTCTCCCAGGGTTTGCACTGGCCAGAAGCTGGAATCAAGAAACCAGAGTTGTGTCTTGAACCCAAGGTCCTCCAATGTGGGACCTGGGAGTATGGCTAGGCTAAAGGCCCACTCAGTCTTGGTGAGTTTGACATGCTTCTTAGCGTATAAAAAGAAGCTATCATCAAACTAATTGCTCTGAGAAATACTAAAATGCTATCCCTTTAAGCATAAGGATCATGACTTCTACGTTTGTTACATGTTTCCTTTTTAGACAAGTAAGAGGGCTTCGGTCAGGCAACGAATTGACCAAAGCAGTGCCCATGCCAATGTATTCTACAGTGTTCTTGTTATTGATCAAGTGCAGAACAGAGACAAAGGACTTTACACTTGTCAAGTGAAGAGCGGACCGTCGTTCAGATCTGCCAGCACCTCAGTGCACGTGTACGGTAAGCTGCAGAGCAGTCCTGCCCACCCGCTCTGTGCTCTCCAGTCACCGGAGATGCCTGGGGCTCAAACAAGTGACATTTCTCTTGTGTTTCTTCACTGTCATGAACGGATAGAGCTTTGCCACAGCCTCCTCCCTATCCCTGCCCCAGAGCAGCCCAGGTTACGTGGTCTTTAAGTTTAGGACTTTTGCATTGGACACCCTTTTCTTTAGAAGTTTGCTGGGGGTAATAATGCAGTTAGAAAATGCTTTCAGAATCCTTCTTTTAGTGCTCTAGAAAATGGAGATCAGTTTTATTTTTATTCTCTGGAGAAAAAGTCTCGCAGTTACTACCGTGAATTAGTGAAATAAAAATGTGCTATGCTAAATTATTTGAATTAATGCTATTTTAACCCTGGTTTTACTACATGAAATCCTAATATTGTCACTTACTTCCAATATTCAAATTCCTTATTTATCCCCATGTTGAAAAGGAAAACATGAGGCTGGCATTATGGCTCAGTGACTAAAGCTGCCTCTTGTAATGCCAATATCCCATTTCAGAGTGCTGGTTCGAGTCTTAGCTGCTCCACTTCCAATCCTGCTCCTTGTTAAACACTGCACCTGGGAAGGCAGTGGAAGATAGCCCAAATACTTGGGTCCCTTCCACCCATGTGGGAGAACCAGATGGAACTGCTGTCTCTTGGCTTCCTCTTGGCCCTAACCTGACTATTGCAGCCATTTGGAGAGTGAATCACCAGTAGAAAATCTCTCTCTCTCTCTCTGTCTTTCCCTCTCTCTCTCTCTCAAATAAGAAATCAAATGAATAAGTATTTTTTAATAAAAACAAGAAAGACAAACAGTGTGAAGAGCAGAAATTATGGAACAATTTTACCCAAAGTCTTTCGTGTCTTGTTGACTTTCTCCAGTTGATTTTTACAAAATATCAAATTAGTTGTTAGGGTATCTAGAACAACTTTCTCCAATCTTATTCAGATTGGCCGGGTAGATTTTTAGAAATCCCCTCTCCTCCACTTTTTGTTACTGTGACATAAATATTTAAGGTGTTTCAGTTTCTGTAGTTCCCACTGTTTTATGTCTGTTGGACTTGCTACCATTTGATTTGAAAATATTTCATCAGGTTGCTTTTGAATTAGGAGGGATCTTCAAAATTTTCACAGAAAACAAGAATTATGAGAAAATTATGCAGGGATTTCAAACATTTTTGTTGCAGAATAAACATCTTTTTAACTCTATTTTCCATGAGCTCTTTGAAGTACTGTTGTATTGTATTCATGGATATTCAGTCTCTTTGTCAGGCTCCATCTAATTCAGCTGTTTATTCATTACTTGCGTTCTCTCTTAGTGAAGCAGTGAGGTTTTGTTTCTATAAATGTGCTCTTTTCTAATGTACCTATCACCTTTCCTTTGAAAGACAAAGCATTCATCACTGTGAAACATCGGAGACAGCAGGTGCATGAAACTGTAGCAGGCAAGAAGTCTTACCGGCTCTCCATGAAAGTGAAGGCATTTCCCTCACCAGAAGTGATATGGTAAGACCCTGATGATTTTCTTGTCCGTGTAAGATAGGCTTCCTTAAGTAGGAAGATGTGAAAGCCCAGTGACTTGGAGCAAAGATCAAGAGGGAGCGGGGCACAGTGTTGATTTCTGGGTGGAGGGAGTATGGAGGGAGATCACGAAGCAGGAAGGGCTGAGGGTGTCCTGGGCGCTCAGTTTAGTCAGGCTCTCCCTGCCTCTCAGCCTCTGCATCTCTAAGCCTTCCTATGAGGTCAGCATTCTCTCAATGGGATGTTGAGCATTGACTAGGACGCATCATGACTGTGTAACACGCTCTATTAACCCTGAAGAAGTGGGCCTTGTAATGACGATGCTGAAAATCATTCTTTCATACACAGCTGGCTTGAGAGGTCCAGTCTTGATTTAAAATCAAACCAGCATAAATAGGCACAAGACTTACTCGTTGCATGAGAGGTTGGATGAACCTACCTGAATGAATTAAGTTTTATTTTGCTCAAAGACTGTATATTCAGAAACTCTTCAAGCAGTTATATTTTTTAAAAAATCCACTAAGACAACAATTGGTATAGAACAATGTAATCTGGTTATAATCTGCAATCATTTTGTGCAATTACTTTTAAATGCCAGTACCATTGGCTCAGGTCATTACATTTAAAACAAAGGGTATAATGCAAAATTGACTAGGAAAGCAGTCTGTATGATACAGAAGTGGTGTATTTTAGAACCTTGTCAACCAGAGCTTATTTGGCTTCCAGTGTCACGAGGGTAATACCTGTTTCCAGTTTCCTCAAATACTTAATAGGAAATTAAAGGGGAAAATGAAACTTTGCACACTCTGCCTTCACACCATCACAGTAGAAAAGGGATTTTATTTTTTGGCTCATGATAACAACATTTTGAATAGAAATGTCCTGACTCCAGGAGGTATTATGCTCATGCCTCAGTATCCTCATCTGTGAGCACTGATTTCTTCTGTAGTAAGCAGCAAGAGCCTCAGAACAATTCCAGCTCACCTCGGAAATGCTGACTTGCTAGGGAAATAATTTAAAATAACACTAAGATGATATATGTGTAATCACAAAATACAGTCTAGTTATTTTAACTGCTTGGGAACTGAGAGCTTGTAGTCACAAGAATTTATTTGCAGGACAAAGGGCCTTCAACAAATTCATGAAAAATGTTTATGATGAAAAAATTATGCCTGGATTTCAATATTTGCACCAAAACCCCATATATGTGTGTGTGTGTGTGTGTGTATACACACACATATGTATATATGTATATATATGTATATATATGTATATACATATATATACATACACACACACACATATATATATATATACACAGGCAGAGACCACCCATTTGCTGATTCAATCCCCAAACACCTGCAACAACCAAGGCTGTGTTGGGCCAAAGCCAGGAGCTTCATCCAGGTCTCCCCTATGCAGGAAAGGGGCCCAAACCCTTGGTCCATCTTCTGTTGCCTTTCCCAGCTGGATTGGAAATGGAGTGGCCAGGACACAAATTGGCGCCCACATAGGATACCGGCGTCGCAGGTGTTGGCTTTTTTCTCATATGCCACAGCACTGGCCCCTCCATGAACTTTTTGAAGTACCCTTGTATATACATGGTTACGATACCATTTCTGATATAACACCCTGATACAGAACACAACCAATGCTTAAAGTGCCCATTAAAAGAACTGTGCCTAATAATATATAATATATATAATGTGCCCAATAATATATATGTGCCTAATAATATATATATTTTATATATATATATATATAATGAGACACTGAGAACTCTAGAAAAGTCTAGAAAACAGAGGTTAAAACTTGGCAGAGTATCCAGGTCTTTATACAATTAAGTGATAACACAGCATTGATTATGTATTTTTAATTTTTTATAATTTAAGTTTCTGTTTCTTTTGTGTTCTTCCTGGGGGCGGGGAATCTTGATGGTGTTGATCTCACTACATTTATGAAAGGGACAACTGGTGTGACCATTTGTATAGCTAATAAGAACTCCACATGAGACCACAATGGGAAAATCTATTTTTATTTTTATCTGGAGAAATGATCTAGTTGATCTTACAATGGCCCTTGTAGAGCCGATTGGAGCCTCATGGAAAACTCTGGAAAACATCTCGGGTGGGATCAGAGCTGGTGCCTGGGGATTAATACTGCAGCCAGTGTGGCCTCCAGCATCCCGCTGGGAACATTAACCCATGGCTTTTCTTTCTTCCCTTGGTTTACAACTTCCTCTTTGCTAAGGTAAATGAGGTGCTCCCCAGTCTCAACACCACACAGACCTTCACCGGGAAGTTAGTGCCTTTCCAAGGTGCTTCTCTCTTTCAAATCAACATTGATGATCAAAGGCTCAAAACCGATCACTTAAACTCTCAAACTCAAATGGCAGTGTTACCAGAGGATATCTGAGAGGCAGATGAGATGGCTACTGATGACACTTTGCACCACAGGTTAAAAGATGGGTCACCTGTCACTGAGAAATCTGCTCGCTATTTGGTCCATGGCTATTCATTAATTATCAAAGATGTAACTGCAGAGGATGCAGGCGATTACACCATCTTGCTGCGCATAAAGGAGCAAAATGTGTCTAAAAACCTCACGGCCACTCTAATTGTAAATGGTAAGTTTCCCATTCATACTCTCTTCTGGTTCTGGGCAGAGGGACATTACAGAAAATTAGCAAGTACAAAAAATCAGTATAGAACAGCAAAGGAAACAAAATGTGAAGTAATTCTTATGAAAACCTCTTCTTTTTCCATCATTGCTAGTTCATGTTTGCTTATCTTCCATAGGCAACGTGACTTTTTATAATGGTGGTCATACCATGGAATCAAATTATTACTGCTCTCAAAACACTTCGATTTTTTCCCGCTGGCGTCTTCTTGACAAATGTGGAGGTTTACTGTGTTGTTGTTTCCCCTGACATCAACACCAGGGGGGCTGTGGTCGTTGTGTGGCCCAAAAGGACATCGTAACAACCCTTGACCTCTGTCCTGTTCTCCATCTCGTTTCCAGTAAAGCCCCAGATTTATGAAAAGGCCGTGTCATCATTTCCAGACCCGACTCTCTACCCACTGGGCAGCAGACAAATCCTGACTTGCACCGTCTATGGCGTCCCTCAACCTATAATCCAGTGGTTCTGGCTCCCCTGTAACCATAATCATTCCAAAGCAAGGTAGGAACACTTGGATCTTGACTAAGCCTCAAGAAATTTAACATTAAGATGCTTTAATGGACACCAATGGGAGTTTGCACATGGAATGTGAAATATACTGGGGACAAAGGCTTTCCCTGCGATGGAAATGTGTAGACGTCAGTTACTCTTCTGTAGTAGACATACCTTGATATTGGCTACCCTTTTCATAAGTTCTCGCTCTGGTTTCCAGATTTCGGAGCACAGGCTCAGAATTAAGGTCACTGCATGAGCTTGTTACTTTAGAGTTCTCTGGGTCCTCAAGTGAGGCTCTGTGGATGTTGGCCATCCCACCTCTGTCAGCTCCCGGTCTTCCTATTCGTCACCTCATTCTCACTGGATAGGATCCAAGATCTTCCCTACACTGATGATCATTGTTTCCTACTTATGGACTTTGCTCATGCTCTTCCAACTACCTGAAATGCACTTCCACCCATTGTCTGTCCCCTAAGGCTCTCTCCAAAGCTCAGCTCTTGCATCACTTTCTCTGGGAACCCTCCTGCCTGCCTCATTCAGACTCACTTTTTCCTGCACAGCCTGACCAGCACTCCATTTGCACCACTGTTGGGTCACTCGGCGTGAACATGCTTGTCTCTGTCTAAGCTGTCATCTAACTGAGACCACCTCTGTGTGGTCAGGGCTGCTCACCAGGCCTGGTGCCCTGTGCATGCTGACATCCCTACCTTCTGCTAATTGTGTAGCATTTCCTTGCATCCTGTTGACCACTGGGCCTTGTTTGCTGTTTCCCCTTTTTGTTTAGTCTAGAAGGATGATACTAATGATAGTTCATGGGAGCTCATTTGAAGAACAGGAATAGAACTGATAGGTCCAACAATAAGATATTAGTGAAACTATCTAAGAATCATCATTAATGCCAAAAATGTTTTTAATTGCTTTTAATTCCTATAGCACAGTGTTCAGGAGAATTTCTGTTAAAAAAAGGATAGTTTGATGAAAAATAAACAAGGCATAATTCAACATAAACAGATACAAGTGGCTACTTGGCTTTCTAGATTCTTCCCACAATTCCAGTTCTTCATCTTGTGTTTTAAGCTTTTATTTAGGGTGTATCACGCAGAGAGTGGAAAGTTTCTGGTGAGTTCTGGAAATTCTGAGAAGTAGTGTTTACACATGTCTGATTTCCCATTTCAATGTCATTTTCTAAAAATAGGAATACAGAGAACTTGCAAGTCTGTCATTCTTTCTTTACCATTTTGGATATTTAACCTGACAAGCAAGTGAGATCTGAGATTTGGTATTATTTCGCTCATTTGGAGCAAGCATCAATACTTACAGACCCTCAGAAGTCTTAATACTTGTACTAACCTAGCATGCAAATAAATTTAAAAATAACTAAATAATTAAAGCTATTAGATTAGGCTCAAAGCATAGAGTTAATTTTTTGTGAAATTACATAGACTTTTAGAGATATTTCAAAAGTTTCCTTTTGACAGTATTATGCTTAAAATTTCAACGCTATTTAAGACTATAGTTAGTAACTGTTAGAAAATAACAATTATGAGTGATAGAACATATGATTATAAGCTTGGAGCTGAAGGATGCTAATAAAATAGGATTTAAGAGTCAGACCAGCTGACGTGAAACCTTGTAACCATGGCCTCTCCCTCTCTTTGTGATGTATGGGGTCTTTCCTCTACATTATCAGCCAACTCACCAAGGCCGGAAAAGATGTCTCATTCCTTTAGGCATTCTTGCAAGACTCCGAGCAGCTCTTTTCACATTTGTTGATTTTTTGAACTGGCTTCTGTTAGAGGCATTCAATTTTTGACTATTCACAAGATGTATCAGAAAGGAAAGCCTTAACTGTGCTAGCTTATTCCTTTAATATGTTGTTGCTGGAAATTATACGTCATAAATATGCACGTCCATAAGACGCTTGCCATCTTTAGTGAGCAGATACTGGTGGAGTAGCTTACATGTGTCAGGCCCGGATGTGGCGCCTGGGGTTAAATCAGTACATTTGACTTAGAAAGATTTCAGAAATATGCGTGGGACTTTGCTATGCTAGGAAACAAATCTAGCAACTCTGTTTAATCCTCTCAGAGAGAGAAAAGTCAAAATTTACAGTTCATGAAGCCTCTTTAATTTCTGGATTTTTCAAATATGTCTTTATATAAACATATTTTTATACACTTGGATTAACTTAAATTCCATTGTAGACAGGAATATTAGCAGCAAATGAATAAGAGATTCTGTCCCACTGACTTTTCTATAGTGACATGTTTGCATAATAGTATCTAAACATGATTGTCAAGAGATTGGATAATTATTATATATACATTTATATATTACTCTTCAATGTGGAGAATAATTTTATCTCTACTTAAAGGGCACATCTATATATGGTCAGAGCCAAAAACATTACTTTTGAGGCTACACTGTTGTTTGCTGTAGTTCAAAATTATTAACTGGTTTAATATGACCAGCTACTTAATAAAAGATAATATCGAAACACGTTCTGACTTGCACTGTATAATCTCTGGGAGTCTAATAAATAAGTAATTATATGTGTAAACTATCATAACTACTGTTCAACTAGAAATGTCCTCTTTTGAAAAATGTCGTAAAGGATTTCATGCAAGTACGCTATTTTAACTGAATAATATTTTGGTTTGGTTTTTGCCAAGAATTTGTTCTTATAAAACATTAGGGGGTCATGGAAGGATGGTTGCCTTTAAACTGACACAGCTAATGAATGAGCTGAGAAGAGGTAGAACAGAATCTTCCCCTGTTGTACTTTTCTGCCCATCTGGATGGTAAAGTGGTAGAAGAACCAGCCTATTTCTTTTGAATGTTTAATAACACGAGCTTCAGGTATCAACACTGAATGAGGTAAATTTTTGATTTTTTCTCAGCAACTGGGACAATTTTCAGCAACTGGGACAGATTTCTAAATAGATATTTCTAAACCTGCTCCATGTTAGCTTGGAATAAACCTAGGGTCTAGGGAGCATCCCAAATGGTGTTGAGCTTATACAAGGATACGTCACAAGATTAATGGAAAATGGAATGAAAAAGATTAGCTTATTTTGGTGCAAGAGAATTGAAATATATATGTGTGTGTGTGTGTGTGTGTATATATATATATATGTATATAAAGGGATCCTCAAATAATCCATGCAGAATGCATTTTATGAAAAACCCATACATGGATTTCAATTTTTTTTTGGCACCAAAATGAGACTGAATCCATAAAGTTGTCATTGAATTCAATGTTGTCCGTGGACTGTGTGAAGTCCCCTGATGATGCTTTTCACATGTCGCGTTCACAGCTCTGTCCGTACAAAATCAAGATGATTGCACACACTTCAGAGAGAGGCTACATGGCCCAAGCTAGTGTACTGGGGATAGATATGCCATCGAACTGTGAGGTTGCAATTATTGCTGGTGTGGGTAGGGGCAGGGTACATTTCTCTAAGTAAGACCCAAGAACTGTTAAGGAACTGGAAAGGAAAATTCTGCTGCTAGAGAGCTAGTTTCACAACAGTGAGAAATGTCACTCAGCACTTCTGAGAAGCTAACGCACGCTGTGGGAAGTAAAACGCAACGCTGCTGCACTTTTAGAAGCAGAATTTTAGTAGGGCTGGAAAGAGGAAATGGCCTAGAGTTGAGGAAAATGCAAGGTGTGACTTTTCAGAAGGAGAGAAATTCTAGAACTACAGAAGCGTTAGGCAAAGTAGAAGGAAGGCTGGAGGGAGGGGCGTCATGGAATGAGGCAACTCTCCGTGTCCGCGTGGCCGGACCCATTCCGTGGTTTCCTGGCACGGAGGAAGTGGTTTCACCTCCTGAATTGCCCGAGGCTGGGGTAGAGAAGAGTGGGCGTGTGGGCTCTGCAGGGCCGCCTTTGCTTTCTAGACCGCCCATCCTCCCTGCATTCGGGAGAGGGGAGCCATGCATGCCAGCCGCCCGGGTCAGGGCTACAGCTGCAGTCCTAGCCCTCTGAGCCAGGCTGGGTGCAGACTCGGAGGAAACGCTGTTCAGATGAGCTCTCCCTGGCCAAGCGCTTGGTCCGCAAAGGAACACGGAACAGCTTAGGACTGGGGGAAAGCGGCCCCTTTGTGAGTACCCCGAGAGGCCAGGGAAGGGAAAGCCTGGGCACCGTGCATCTGCTCTGTGGCTCACAGGGTCTGTGTTCTCAGGAAGAACCTCAGGAGGTGCTTCAGCACCCGCGGTCCCCCAAAGCACGGGGTCTATGTGTGGTGGTGACCCGGCTTCTGCTGGGTGCTTCTATTTTCCATTTGCCCTGATCGCTGCCCCATGAGTGTCCAGAGGCTACCCAGTGCTTTCTAAGGTTGTTCCCTCTGTTTAAAAAACAAAACAAAACCAAAAAACAACTAAAGCCTCTTTTAAAAATATTGAACGTATTTGACTTTTTTCCCTGGAGGGAGGTTGAAGGCCTACAGTCTTGTTTCGATTGGCACAGGTCTTTTAGGTCACGGCTACTTTAATCCTCTCTCCCCCCACCTAACTACCACAGCCATCATCCCAGAGTGATAAATAACAGTGGTCAGTTTTAATAGATAGAGTTGAAACATACCATGTCATTCTCCTTCTACAGAAAACATTATTAAGCAATACTGGGTTCTTTGTGATAATATTATTTTTTTTATCAGCAATCGGTGATGACTAGTAAAAATCTACTTAGACACTTCTGCTCCTTCTATGGCATTAATATTGCTCACTTCTTACGAACCAACCTTGTGTGGCATCGATATTCAGTCTAAGTATACTGTCTGCCATCTGCTCATGGCATAAATATTTATGAGGCGCCCACCATGTGTTAAAACATAAACGTCATTTGTGTTCACACTTAGGTTTGGATTGTAAAAATCAAGTGTTCATGGAGATTCCGTGTAGGAGTCGTGTTTGTACCTGCGGCATATCTGTGACACACTCAGGAGTAGGGACCTGGGAATCGAGGAAGCGGGTTCTATTCTTGGCACTGACCCTGACTTCTGGGT